AAAAAAAAAAAAACAAAGATGTAAAAAGTATCTGGTATAATTTTCAATGTATGTGAACACAACACACAGGACAATTATAAGGTAGATTGGAAACAGTATTACCTAGATTAACTGCTAAAAATGTAGATTGGAAATAGTATTACCTAGATTAACTGCTAAAAATATAGAGAATTATGGTCAAAAAATTAGGTATAAACAAGCTGATTACTAAAAGATTTAGAGGTAGTCAAAATAAAGTTGTTATCTTTTCATCACTGGAACAGAATCCTGAGAAAATCAACTTAGAGAAGGAAAGATTTATTGTAGCTTACAATTTCACAGACTTCAGTTCATGGTTGGCTGACTCCATTGTTTTGGGGCCTTTCTGAGGCAGAACATTATGGTGGAATAGCATGGTGGAGCAAAGCAGATCACCTCAGAGTAGCTGGGAAACAGAAGGAAAGAGAGAACCAGGAAAGAAGTCGGACAAGATAAGCGGTTCCAGGGCACACCCCCAAGAGCCCACTTCCTACAGTTTCTACCATTTCCCAATAATGTGATAAAATTATGGACCTGTGGGGGCAGAGCCTTGGTGATCCAATCACTTCCTCAAAACTCCTCAGAACATTGCTCTACTGGGGACCAAGACTCCAATACATGATCCTTGCAGGACATTTCAGATAGGAAGAAAAAAAAAGGGGGGGAGAACAGAGAAACACATACTTAAATGAAGGCATAATCAAATCAAATATGAAAATGGTCCACATAAAAACCAATTGTCTTAGGCCAACTGGGATTTTATAACAAAATACCATAAATAGCATGGCTTATAAACCATATTTTTTTTTCTCACAGCTCTAGAAAATGAAAAGTCCAGGATTAAGGTACCAGAAGATTTAGTATCTGTTAAGAGTTCATCTCCTCATATATGATGGCTTCTGTGTCTTCACATGATGGAAAGGGCAAGAGATTTCTCTGGGGCCATTTTATTAGGGCACTAATTCCACTCACTTGTGATCTAATCACCTCCGAAGTCCTCACTTCCTAGTGCCACTTCTTGGGAATTAGGATTTCAACCCAAACATTCTGATCAGTATACCAACCTTAACAAAATTACATTCTATATAAGTGGTCTAAGTACATCAATAAAACCACCAAAGATTTCATTTTGCATTAAAAAAAACCCTCCTATATGCTCCTATGTCAATGCAAGCTTAACTTATAACATAAATACACATAAAAATGGAATGTTTTGATTGAGATGAGTCACCATGTAATTTACCTTCTCTCTAGTTGTAAAATACTTTTAGTCTGTTTAACTATTCTTTTAAATGCCTATCTGAAGCAGGTCTGCTCTACAGCAAATTTGATCAGACGCATTTAACTATTCAAACCGCTTCATGTACATACTACTCAAAAACTATCTTCCCCTCTTCCTTGTTAACAGAATTCTGATACTAACAACCCCCAGAAAAGAATCATGGAGTCAGAAAATCATAAATATCTCACTTTTTTTTGCCATTTAATGACCTACAGGTACACATGTGACTCAATTTGGGCCAATGACACATATGAAGTCAGAGCATCCAAGAAATAAATATATTTTCTGAGTATCCTCTTTGCTGTTGTTGTTGTTGTTGCAGACACTCTCTATATATTTCAACTTCTGTGAGAAGAAGAGCTAATTAGAGCTATGGTAACCATTGCCACTGGAAGAGCATCGGGCTATGGCACAGGAGAAAAGATTTTTTAAAGCATATATGGTTCTAAACGTGGTGTCCAACTCAAGGCAACCAGACCACAAGGCAACAAGAAGTTCCCACTGAACTTCTTGTCAAGTAAACAAGAAATATATTGTTAAAGCATTATTAGTGACACCTTCTACTGCCTATAGTCAAACATATGAACTGACAAATGAACAAAGAGAGCCAAGTCTTTCTCGGCACAGAATGCTATGTCTGCAGTGCTGTCATTTCATCCTTCTTTTAGGGTCATTGTCCTACTTTTCCTGCCACTTAATACTGATGGGAGAGGGTTGGAGAACAGCCGCATAGAGACAAGAAAGGATAGTTAAGAGGCAGAACATTATTTATACAGAACCAATAATACTTCATGGGTTGGAATTCATCAATGAGTCTGCCTACATTTAATGAGCTTTTATTATATATTGAGCATTGTGTTAGATGCTAGAGATTTAAAAATCAACAAGTTCTGTTTCAGGTGGGAGTGACTGACAATATGTAAATAAACATATTCAATCTGATTGTGTTATGAAGAACTACAAGCTGGAGAAGGCGAATATTGGGGGCTAGTCAAGACAAAATAGTAAGAGGAGAAAAAAAAAAAAAAAGCTATTTCAGAACTTTAGGCCGAGCTGGATTTTTGGCAGTAACCACTTTTTGAGAGGTGATAAGGAAACTCTGAACTCCTACACCCTTATTAAATCACCCATTAATAATCAAACTTAAAAGAGGGCATCAGAACATTTAAATAGAGATTTAAATAGCTTTCTGATTTAAAAAAAATAATTTACATCAGAAAGCTATTTAAATCTCTATTTGTGATGAATCAATCCATAACAGTTTACAAACTTGGAATTTTTATAAAGAGATTATTTAAAAGGTTAGAGAATGCTAGCCAGATGGCCAGATGCTAGATGGGAATAGAAATTTAGAAGAGAAAAGGAATGGAAGATTAAAGATGAAACTGAAACAGATTATAGGCAAGAAGAGCTATGGGCTTGGGGGGAGCAAGACATCAAGGAATCTGGAAATTTCCATGGACTATTACACTGAGGTCAGGAAATCCTTTTGGGTGGGGCAAAACTTAGGTGATGCATTCTCTCTCTCTCTCTCTCTCTCTCTCTCTCTCTCTCTCTCTCTCTCTCTCTCTCTCTCTCCCCCCCCCCTCTCTCACACACACACACATATGTGTACATCTTTATAGGGCCCAGTATAAATTTGAAACATATATATAATTCACAGTGATCAAATGGAATAGTATTCAGCCTTAAAAAAAAATCATCATTTACAGCAACATACATGGTAGATACTGTTTCAAAACAACCTGATTCATGATCGTTTTCAGAACAGGAAGAATTAGAGTTTTAGCCATTCCTGGCCTAAAAAGAGTTCCCGCAGCCTGGGAGAACTCCTTAGGGGAATCAGGTTTAAAAGCATAAGCTTCAGCTTTCTTTGGCTCTTACCTATGCTAGGAATTCTGAAACCCAGGAGAGGTGGGGCTCAGGGACTTGGAGGTTGGTAAATTCCTGGTTGTCCATTAAAGTTAGGATGTGACCCGCCCCCAAGTTTCAAAAGGAAACATTACTGAGTTCCATTTTCCGGGATATGTATTTCCTTTCTCTCCATCGTTGCAGATGTAATGATAAATACCATCCTGCTGCAGCCACAATTTCATGTTCTAGTGCGAACCCGGTGACTCTTAACAACAGATCCCACGCAGCCAGAAACCCCGCCCCCGCACGTAACCATAGGAACAGCTGACACGCCGAAAGCGGGAGATACCCTGTTCTGCCCCCTCCCTGACAGATATTGTTTCCCACTATCTGTCCACATGGGCGCTCCACCTTATGATTGGTTCCTGTGCCGGGACTGTGCTTTGCCCCAGCCAATAAACGCCCTGTGCACGTGCACTCTTGCGTCTGTCGATTGGCCAACACTGCCTGATCACGCACTGCCTACATGAGCTAGCCTTTGCGTGGGGGCGCCAATGAAATGATTCAGTGGCCATTTACAACCAATTGGCAAGGAGCAGGTCTCACAGCTGGCCTATGGGCGCGCGCCGAGGGTGGGCAGTCTCGGCCCCTTTCCAGTCCCAGTTAGGTTTGTTAAAGCGACAGGCCCCGCGGTGGGCTGGTGCTTCACCCGGCACCGCACAGCGGCCGCGGTGGCCCTTGGCGTGTGGCAGGCGCCCTTGACAGCGGCGCCTCTTTGCTCTGGACCCCGGCTCCCGGCCTCCCCGGACCTCAGTGGCGGGGCCGAGTCGCCGGCGGGATGGGTGGAGAGGCGGGGTCCACCGCGGCCTTGGGTCTGGAGGGCCGCGTGAAAAGCCTGGGTCTGGTGTTCGAAGATGAGCGCAAGGGCTGCTACTCCAGCGGCGAGACGGTAGCCGGGCACGTGCTGCTGGAGGCGACCGAACCGGTGGCCCTGAGCGCGCTACGCCTGGAGGCCCAGGGTCGTGCCACCGCCGCCTGGGGCCCGAGGGCCAGCGCCCGCATCTCAGCCAGCGGCGCGGCTCCCCCAGCTGCCTCGGAGGTGGAGTACCTGAACGTGCGCCTGAGCCTGCGTGAGCCCCCGGCCGGTGAGTGAGCACTACTGCCTGGGTTCCCCGCCAGGCCGCTGGGTCCCAGGGTAAGGGCCAGGATGGGGACATTCTCTGGAGGATCACGCGCAGGCAGAGTGCCCTCCTGGCAGGTGGGCCTGTCGCAGGCTTCAAGAGGTGGACTTCCCAGTGGGGGTCGCAGATGAGGGGCAGGTAACAATGCTTGTGCCCCTACCTCACAGCAACCCAGAGGTCAGACCTTGCGCCCTGCAGCATAGCCCTATGTGGCGACTCATTCTTGGCTGGCTGTGGTCGAACACCTGGTGTCCCAGGATCTTCTAGAACCCAGAAGGGAGTGGGTCGTTGCCATGGGGACCTGTGATTAGACTGTCAGGATCCAGGGATCTAGGTTCCTTAAGGCTGTGGGCACGGAGGGTGGAATCAGGGTCTGTAAGGTTCCATTCTGATGCCTAGTGTTTCATGGGCCTCCACTTCTTCCCATCGTGGACCTAGGCACTCCTTGGTTCATGATGAATTAGCAGAAACTCAGTCTTGGGAAGAGGGAAGTAGTTCTTGAGAGGTGGTTCAAAGGAAGTGTTTCTAGACCTGACCATCATACTTGATTTCCATCTTTTGGGGAGTGGGGCTACTTTTTTTATTAAGAGTTCTGACTTTAATCAGAGATTGCCGCTTTTTTGTTTCCTTCACGTCCTGTTCCTCCTGCCTCTCTCCCCTTTCCCAAAAGGCCTTTGGAGACTGCCATCTGGGCATTTTTGGATTACCCCTTCCTGTTCTCTTTTGTGAAATCCAGTCAATTAATGTAGGCTTTTCTAGAAGTCACCATGCAGGGATCACTACATGGATGTTACATTCATAAGTACCAAAATTTATACCCTTAATTATGAAAATACCCAAACTGAGTCTTTAGTGTTTTTTCCCCCCCTCAGAGGAAATTATTTTAAACTCTTGCCTTTCTGCCTCATCAGCTTTTAGCTATCAAATAAGATAATTTGACAAGTAAAATACATTATGATTATATTCTTAAATGTTGCTATATCTTTCACAAAATACAATGCAGTTTAGTCTTAATCCTACTATGGAATAGACCATCCACAGTTAAATCCTCCAAAGTGTTTGATAATCTGACTGAGCACAAATTTATAGGGAAAGGATATCTGGAACCAAAGCTTTCTTTTAGGCTAATGAGAGCCCTGGTAGATGACAGTTCCTGCCTGCCCTCACACTCTTTCTTTGTGAAGTTTCCAGAATCACCAGCAGGCCTCTCCCAGTGGTTATAGCCAACATAGATTTTCAAGATGGCTGACTGGGAAGAGGCCATGGAAGAGAGAAGTAAATTGGGTTGTGTCCAAAATTCTTAAACTTCCTGAACCCATAACTACTGAGTAAATAGATAGAAAATTAAAAGTAATTGAACCTAAAATTAGGAATGAAAATTGCTTTGGTGAAATCCAGCCTGGGTTTTTCAATTCAAAAAAATAAGTCAAATTTTATTTTTTATTTTAGTGGAATTGTCTCTAAACCTAAACAATTTGCAAATCTTCAACTCTTTTTAGTGATGTATCATAACAAATATTAACAACAGTTACATATTTTTAAAAATCAGCCTCTTTTAGTTGATGTGGGTCAGGGGAGCACCCCTAATATCCATAACTGGAAAGAAACAAGCAACTTGACATAGTCATAGGTTCTCAGGGTCACTTAATTCCAAAACATATCTTTCAAAAGAGATTTTTAGAAATTTTGATTTCTGGAAAATGCAAACACTGGAATCTCTCCAGATATTTCTTTGGAATTACTAATCAAATCCAACTACTGTAATTGTCTTCATATGTTGATTGACAAATACTGAAAGATAGAACCATACAGTAGGTTTCGGTTCTTGGGCACTCAATAGCAGAGTGTGACCTTACATGAGTCCCTCCTCTTAACCTAAGCCCCAGACTCTGCCTCTAATGGTCTTCTGGACCCCACAACTCATGAAAATCTTTAATTCTGAGCTTTGGTTGTGAGACCATTAGTAAATTAAACAAATTCCTGTGAAACTAGTCCTCAATAAGGCAGAGAAGTAATGAACCATGAGAGCAGAAGCAGAAATATGTACATGATTGTGAATGTTTTCATTAAAAACAAAGAGAATGAAATAAAGATTTTATTCCAAATACTATAGCCCATGTTTATCAGTTTCCTCTTGTTGTTTTTAATTATTTTTTAAGATAGTTGAAAGATTCATTTTTAGGGGAATAATGGGTATGTTTCCTCTATGAAGGAAGAACTTCATCTCTTTGTCACTCCCTGTTGGTATCCTAGCCAACTCTGTTCTCCACATGCCTGTCATGCTTCCTCGTGACATGCCTTTCATCTAAGCCCCTTCCCAACTCATCTTCATTCCACTGTCAGGTCTTCAGTGCCTACATAATCCTGAGTGGATGTTCTAGGCTCTAGCACTGTCTCGTAATTAGTTGTCTGGTTGCCTTTTCTGCTGGTCTGAGGAATTGAAGTTATTCATCTTTTTATCAACAGTGCCTGGCATATAAGCCCTATAAATTTTGAACTCAGATGAAACCCACATTTTTAAACATTTGTAAGTACTTTGTCGTGCTCTGCAATCTAATGATTACAAATTAGAATTTATAGTCCAGTTCTCTCCGGAGAATTGGGTCCTGAGCCTTTCACTGGATAGCTGCACTGTGCAGAAGCTCCCCTTGCAGAGTAGTGTAGCTCTGCCGTGACACTGTTGAGACCTGTAGGGCTGTTCGTGAGAACACCTTAACCCCTGGGACTCACCCTATCACTATCATTTAATCTGATCTCATGTCCCTGTGACTGGTTATTGTTGACTTTGCCTACAAGTCACCCACCTGTGAAGTACAACTATGCAAATGGGCTTGTGACTTTTTTTTCTCCCTAATTCATTACACATTAAACACTGAAGGTAGATTTAGAAGACTTAGCAGGCCAGTAATATATTCCTAAAATTACAGTTAAAATGTGTAAATTGTTTAAAATCATGAAGCTCTAGTAATTAAGTTTTTTAAAAATTCCATTTCACTACTGATTTCCTGTCCTTCAAAAATTCAGCCTTAAATCTGAGCTTGAAATAAGAGAAAGTTTACAATATCTCAGGAAAGTCACCTGACCAGCACTGGATGCCATCAAGTCCACTTTTGACCTGAACTCTTAACAGATTGTCTATGTACATTCATCAGAGACTCCAACAGTGTCTCTGGTCTTATACAGTCCACCCACACGCTGCATTTTTTGGCCTTCTCACAGTCAGTACATGAAATAAAATGAAACCGGCAATCCAGAGCAGGGGAGGGGGTCATGTCCTTGCTTGGTAAATCCAAGTTAACTGCTAAGAAATCCTGTTAATCTCACTAGAGCTGAAGGGTAAATACCTGACTCTTGCTTAGTGGCTTGTCTTGTTGGTTTGACTTTTTTATTTTATACCCACTATTAATAATTGTCAAGATTTTTTTATTTCTATTTCCACCTCTTCCCAAAGAATATAATGTGAATTTTATATATAAAAATAAATCTATCTTTTGCTAAATTAATTTTAGGTCCAATTTAATATTAGTATCTCATGTTAACATAATAGAGTAGGATATGTGTGTGTGTGTGTGTGTGTGTGTATGTGTGTGTGTGTGTGTGTGTGTACTGCATATGTATATTGGTGCCCTGAGCTCTAGAACTTCATGGTAATTACTTGTGTAATTGGTCTTTTCTGAGATAAAAGGTGTGTGTGTGTGTGTTTGTGTGTGTGTCCCTCCATAGACTGCCTGCTTCTTACTTTTTAAACCTAAACTACCATTTTTACTGGCTAAAAACTGGTACACATTTCATTCTCTGAGTCTTTTTAATGAACTTTTGAATTCTACTGTGTCTTATGGTCAGCAAAACCTTCTTTAGGAAATGTGATTTAGGTTGTGAAACTCTTTTTCTAGTACTAACCTTGTTAAAATAATCTCTTCTACAGGTGAAGCCATCATTTTATTGCAGCCTGGAAAACACGAATTTCCATTTCGCTTTCAACTTCCATCTGAGTAAGTAAAGCAGGATAGTTTCCAATTTTCTTGGCAGTGTGTCCATCCCATGTCTGAGTCTTGTCAGGATCTTCTGGCTCTAAAGTGTGTATTCATCCTCTGCAGCCCCTCCATAGATGGCCTGCTTACTCTTCTTCTTTCAACCTAAACCACCATTTTATAGAGTACTTTTCCCAGGTTGGTTAACTGAAAAATAAAGTCACAAATTAATGCCTGGTTTGTTTCAGACCTTTGGTGACCTCATTTACTGGGAAATACGGAAGCATTCAGTACTGTGTGAAGGCAGTTTTGGAACGACCCAAGGTACCAGATCAGAGTGTAAAACGAGAACTCCAGGTTGTTAGTCATGTCGATGTCAACACTCCAGCATTATTGGTAAGTTCTTCCTTTTCCTCTTCCTCCTTCCTCTCCTCCTCTATTCCCTCTTTCCTCCTTCCTTTCAATAGTGGTATCTGTATTTAGACAGTTTAGTAGTAGTCTGTCCTGTCACTCTCTGATGGCTTAGAA